GCGAGTAACGTACCCAAAGGTGTGAGTACCGCACCCTAAGGTCTAAGGTGCGAGTAACGTACCCAAAGGTGTGAGTACCGCACCCTAAGGTCTAAGGTGCGAGTAACGTACCCAAAGGTGTGAGTACCGCACCCTAAGGTGCGAGTAACGTACCCAAAAGTGTGAGCAACGCACCCTGCTAAGCAGGTGCGAGTAAAAGGCGCCCCAAAACGTGACAATCGCACACCCTAAAAGTTAGTCACGGGATGGAGTGCTCGGCCGTGCTCTGCTGGCCGGGCTGGGGGGGCAAGGCCAAGAGGCACCTGATCGCTCCCCACGGGGCTGCTGGGACTACGGGGAGCCCCCGGCGGGAGCAGAGTAGGCGGTGCCGCTCTGCACCCGTGCGTCGCGGGTCTGCCCAACTCCCGGGCGCTCCGCCAACTCACCCGTTGTACCGTTCGTTCTAGCGTGTTAGGGCAGCTAGTGTACATTTAATCTATCAGAAATTCAGAGTCGAGTAATGGCATCAGAACGCGCTAAGTTAGTTTCTTTTTATTCTTTATATTTGGGATAATCTTCTCAATTTGATGCTTTTTCACGTCTGTCGCAGGCAAGCCCCGCTGCCCGTACCCAGGCGAACCGGCCAACGGCCGGCTGCAGCCCGTCAAGTTCGCCTACGTGCCGGGCGACAAGATCACCGTCTCGTGCAACGCCGGCTACGTGGCGCCCTTGGAGGCGAGGCCCGAGTGCCGGTCCAACGGCACGTGGTCGGAGCCTCTGCCCACCTGCACCATCTACAGCGAGGTGTGACCCGTGCACTACACTCCCATTCCCGACCGCAAACCACAATAAATTGAAATTGCAACATATCTTGTTCCCCTTTAGTTACACATATCTGTTACATAATCATTATTGCAAGTGACTTGCATCAAAATGAAACAACCAATCAACTGGGCAAAAAAACAATATTTAAAAAAGTGCATGTAATAAACAATTGTGTAAATATTGTAAATAATAAAAACCCAATGGTTTCAAATAACAGTGTGCTTTTTTGTTCAATGTGTTCTTCCTAGTGAATATGTGCAAAGTGACATAGGAAACTCAAAGTGAAAAAACAGGCGCAATGTGAAAAACCTTTTTAATCCACTTGGTAATAAGTGAATGAATATATAAATGTATATATGTATCACTAATACAGCAGTCACTTCATTGCAGAAAACTGTCATGATACTCTTGCTGAATTTTCTTTAACATCAAATGGAATTGAACACACACTTGGTCATAGTTCAAACCAATGAACGTCAATGGCATGTACATAATACAATCTTTTTTCTATATAAAAATTTTCCATTTATACTGATACTTGAGTGGTTTTTGACACTTTTCTAGATTAGATTAACAGCTATTTGGTATGAGATGGGTGTAGAAAATATTGTATGTCTGCGTCCACTTTACAGAAGTAAGCAATATCCATCTTCTTTTCCCAAAATTTCAATTTCTAAGTCACTGTAGGTGACATTACATGACAATTATTTTTTCAGCAGACAATGTTACATCATAGGAACTGGGTAAAGATTAAATCATAATAATACATTAGCATAATTTCTCCAATCCACAATTAAAAAATTGACACTAACTTAAAATGCAAGACTAATATTAAAAACCCCTTAATTAATCAATTAATTAATCAATAATTTACTAAGCACATCAACAATAAATCAGACTGATTGATAGATCAATCTGTCAGTTATCTTGGATAACGTTGAAATGCTAGAAAGTTTCAATCAACTAATATGTAATAGTAATTGAAATAACAATGAATATTCTTAAAATTTTCTAAAATATTAGTCAAGTGTATGTCACACTTTGAATTATATCACAGGAATTGTATTGAAAAAAAAAATGTACCTACACTCTTGCTTTGGATGAAAGCAAACATCAAAGAACAAAATCCATCAGGGAAAAACTCAGACTTCATCTTAACATATTTGTTCTCAAACTAGGTAACAAATATTTGGTGAAAACACCATGGACCAACAAATCACATCATAAAGCAGTCCACTGATTTGAAAAGTCAAAGTTTCAGCAAATAAAAATTAT